TGGGATTGGCGAATGCGAACGGACAGAGCAAGAAAACGCGCACAGTAGAAGGGAGATGTAACCTTTCAGTATGATGATAATAAAAAAAGAACTACCAAGTGGCTTTACGGGTATCTATCAGTTGCCCTTAGTAGGAACATTAACCAGAACATGACGCGTATCACGAGTAAATCTCCGAAAAGAGGCTTATGCGCGTAATGTATACTCAGTTTAGAGTGGGAGAATTGGACCGTCAAAGTTTGTACCCAGCAAGATAAGGCGAACAAGTTAAACGGAGGATGGAATGTCGCAAACATGGAACAAGTTCAGTGGAAAAACCATTGCCACAAGAGTATACTCCAATGATTGAGACACGCGAAATTATTTGCTACTTTTGGGTGAGGAAATATATGCGGAAATAAACAAACGATATAGAGATGAAGTGCAACAAGCCACGTAGATAGATCAGGGAAAAGTGGATATATGTAGATTTCCCTGATGAGATCATTAGCCGAGTTCATAGAAGGAAAACGTTCAGATCCATCGTCACATCATGTCCAATTTGTAATGACCACAGTGGTTTACTTTGTCTTTCAGTCCAGCACCGTCCAGCTCACTGAATTACTGCTATCCAGCCTAAGATGAGAGCACACCAGAAAATAAACAAAATTCAACTCTTTGTTCACGTCACCGAATCAGAGTTAGGTTAAAAAAAGTGAGCAAGAAGCCCGTAGATTATCATCTGATCAAACATGGAAACAACCACCTGAGAGGGGAACCTTGACGCATGAAAACGCGGAAGAGAAACAAACGCACCTGTTGAATGCCAATCTGGGCGTCGTCTAACAGGACTTGTAGTGCCGCGTGCTCCAGCAACAGCCGAGCGAAACCCGCATCCGTTTTCACCACGGGTTCGCAAAATTGGAAAATTCGAAACGCATGCTGGGAAGTGATCTGATGAACGGGAATCCGTGACAGGTGGGGCAAGAATAGAGCAAACGGGATGCACTGATTAGTGATTGGATCAGATTCACGAACAACTAGATTACCAGAACCGAAACAGAGAGCTTGAGAACCTCGTCTTCTGTTTTTAATTGGTGAAAGCACATAGTTTTGTGTCATTTCGCCCTATAAAAATATACATTTCACACCGGCATCAGGATGAGCATAGTTCCAACGCCTCATAAAGGAGGATAGGAAATACTGCGGATTGTAGCGTGGAAACAACAAGCAGGTAAATCGAGATTGAGCGGATGACTGGAGTCATTGAGTATCTAATGAGCGAAATTCTCACATGAAGTGATCAGTGTTTAAAGGAACAAGAGAAACAAGGGGTGATAATTAACAAACCGCGAAGTAGATTAATGAAATCCTTTCGAAGTAGTCCAGGGAAAATAACGGGCGAACAATAAAGTATGACATGAAAAATGCATTGATAAACAAAAGAGCATACAGTTTCATGTCTGACCCGAAATTGACGTAGCGTGGGTACTTGAAAAGATAAGTGACGCAGTCTACCAACAGATGCAAGCACATGAGAGGATCACTGTAGATTGTTATCTATGGTGGCTCCTAGATATTTGGTGGCATGTGTTCTGGTGACGGATACGGAGTTGATGACTGAAGGTACCAAGGGATAATCGGATTGGGAGAGAGTAAAAATGCATTCAAAGGACTTAGAAGTATTCAATCGGAGACCGGATTGATTCGAGAATGATTACATTTACAGTAAACTGTCGGCAAATGATTCTACGTCCAACTGGTTTGAAATAAGACAACATCATCTGCATACATAAAGGTCTTGGCTGGTAGGATTGAGGGTAAGTCNAATAAGAAGAAAGAGAGCACAGCACCCTGGAGGACTCCAAAATTATTCACTAACGGTTTTGAAATAGTGCCGTTTGCTTCCGTTCTTTGAATCCTTCCTGTGAAATTATCTTTTAACCATGACAACAAGTTGGTGGGGCAACCGAATGACTCTATCTTTTGCAGGAGAAGAGATCGTGGAGCGGAATCAAAAGCCGAGGAATGGTCAAGGAAAACAAAACGAACAGACTTTTGAGAATCATTTAAAGATTTGTAAATAAAGTGAATCATTGAAGAGATGGCATCCAAGATGCATCTATTTGGCTTGTACCTATCTATCCATCGGGAAAGTTCGGATGATTGGACTCGAATAAGACTTCATATGAACAGAAAAAATCACACGTCCGTTAAAAAGCAACAAACGACAACAATGCACTTACATGTGCACTTAAAGATCCGGCCCATAAACGAATCCACGATTCGAACGTCATATCTTCATCGCTAACGATCAGGGGTGAGCGCACAGTGGTCCAGTCCGTAAACGCTTCCACGGCATACCTGTGTTTGTTCGAGAGATGAGCGAAGGAGAAAGTCGACTGAGTTAATTTTGGCTATAGTTTTAAGCGTCATAAAGCAAGCATTTGGGTATTATAGCTTCGGTTTCTGTTTAATAGAAAAATCAATACAAAGGTGACATCTATCACCACCACGGACGAGTAAAATGAGCAGTGAATCCATTATCAAACCGTCAGACAATGAACAGGAACGGGAATGTGAAAAATCGTACCGTGAAGTGAGCAATGGTGCGAATAGATCGCGTAAATGTTCGGGGAACAAAATCCATAATTCTCCGCCAGCAACAAATGGGAGGGACGCCACATCCGCGGTGACAGTTTCCATCGAATTATTTGAACTGATCCGGGGCAGAGCACCAACTGGTTTTGTGTGTTCGGGTACTTTGAACAGTTTTAGAAGTTCTTGAATAGCCAAGGCAGTCGAATCCTAGTCGTGAAGTACACAAAAAGACGGAGAAAAAGTGTAATTCGTTTGAGATCGAACGTTAAAATAATGATGATAATGGTTCAAATTCGTTATGATATGGGCATACAGAAATCAAGTTGCATCAGACCATACTTAGTACGCCTACATAAAAGAGCAACAGCACGGCCATCAACTCAATTTCATGTCTCTCCCACACTACTCACAGCGATCAAGCTACCAGTTTCCTAAAATACTTTTACTGAACGATCTTCTGTGTGAGATTAGATCGGCTCGATGGACATTATTCGAAGAGTGTCGAGTGAATAATATGCGGAGCGGTGCCCCTTTCCGGCTGTTTCACAACTTGGTCGCCTTATCCAAAACCTGGGGGAGGGGGAATTGGTTAATGGCAAATTGTTCTGTTCTTTTGTGCGAGGTTGCATCTCTAGCCCTGTCTGGCCCATTGAAATTCATCGTTCAAACCGGTGGAATTATTCAAGACGAGCTTTTGGAATATTGTGCAGTTCTCTGTCCGCTCAGGAAAAAAACGTGTCGGGTGGATGGAGCAGAATAGGAGAAGTGGCCTCATTTAGTGGCTAGCCGTGAACATAACGCGGAAGTTAGTCTACAAATTGACGCGGAACCGTGTACTGGGAGGGAGAAAGCCTCTAAATGCTATTGAAACGCACATTCTCAGGGGACTATATGGGTTCGTTTGACAACAGAAAACTTGGTTCCGTGGTGTTTTAGGTAAACTTGCAAGTAGATGCTTCCAGTACAGTTCCCGATCGAGGAAAAACAAACGGGTGCTAACGGGGCATCACGAAATTGTACAATGTAAAGGAAATTGGCAAATCAAAGAGATGAAACCAGGAGAACGCACCAGCTGTTTTGGGCTAGCCGCACGCAAATAGATTTTGGCCAATTCACAGAGTATGTAGAACGGGAAACGACGATCATTGACATAAATCACCGTGGGCTGTGTTCCCGAAACGGTGCAGGTGACCGATGGGCACAGTCTAATCGACAGGGGGGAATTTCGGAGTGGGGATTATGCAAGAAGAAAATATAGTCGCATCCAGTTGGCATCAATGATTGAAAGAGAGAGAAAATCAACACCAGACGCAAAACAGTGAATTTCTTCACTTCACACAGAACATATATCTGTCTGATACACTGGGTCGAGAGAAAACCCCTATAAGAACCGGTCGTATTTCACTTAGATAACATGACGTATATCCGTGCATGCCAGAGACGCAACAGGACACGGATAGTATGAATTCTATTTGACGGTGTGTGATTGGAAACACGCAATGCAAATTTAAGTCACGTGAAGTATTCGTTTTATGCACCTCGTTAGAACAACTCTCAGTCAAAGGAAAGCGAATAGAGCCATTACGATATCTGATACGCCACAAAATTCGAAGACACTGCATAAAATCGAACTACAGCATGCTCTCTTGTAATAGCACAATGTGTAACAATAAGCATAGACCCAAGAGACGAGGAGGTTTTACTAAATCGTGTGCAACCAAAATCACAACCGGGATATTCAACAGCCCACCAGTGGTCATGGCGGTGGTAAGCTTGTGTTCGGCCTGTGAGGTCCAGAGTTTGCGATCCTCAGTTGGGTGGATGGATTTGCACTGCTGATTCGACCCAATCAGGTCAAAACAGCTGTCCGGTGCCATTTAAGTTTTTTGTTCACGCTTCACTTGCTCTTTAGACGACAAAGTTCACAAAAAGGTGTTCTTATAAGACGTAGGCAGGTAACCTTGATCCATAAATGGGATCAGATCTGCAGGGATCACCAGGAAATACATGAATAATGAATATCGCGCTCAATCGATGCTTCATGAGATCCGGAAGGTGTTAAAAGCCTGGAACGAAAGGCACACACACACAAACAGACAAACTAAGAGTAATCACGCCACAAACTTACTTGCTTGGATCGATCGCACCCAACTGACCGAACCATTGGGCGTAAAGTAACCGCATTTCCGTGTCCGTGTCCCGGGTTAGACCCTCAAGTAGCGCGGCGATCAGGTCAGCCAGAAGTGCAGACGAGCTCATTTGCCGAGGCAATAGTTGTTGCTCATTCAACACATCTGATTCACGACGTGTCGTGTCCAATGCGTCTGCTTCGTTCATCGGGTAGGTGACTGATGCAGTCGAAGCGGCGTTCCCGTACACTTGATTCGGAAGACCCCAGAGGCGAGATGAACCAGTGAAGGTGACACTGTCACCAACATTGTGCGTGTTCTGTTCGGCTGTGAGTGCAAGGCGTCGAACGGAACGACTGGCGTGTGTCAATGCGGACAACCAGGCCGAGAGAAGTGGGCATAATTGTGCCTCAGACAGAGAAGACAAATCGAACGTGGACAGTGATCGCCTGTGATTTCCAATTGAAGATAAAAAGATAAATAAGCAGTTATCGAACGGACATTTAAAGAGATACTAATTACCAGATGCTTTGCATAGAAAAGTCCCGAAACCAGACAATCCACGTTCGGTCAACCGTTCTTATATAGATGAAGGACCTCAACAGAAAATATATTTGGGCTTACCAGGTACAAATATCGTCCAAGATCTGTTGACAAGTGAGCAGCTGAGGGATCCGTGGAAGAAAGAACAGAGCCCCGAGACGGTCGTTCAGTTGATCCCTAAATACGGGAGACAGAGAGATCGTCGACAACAGAAAAGCAATTACTCGTGGTGTCAAATGAATTCAAATCACACAAAAAACGCGATTCAAATCTTGTGATACGTAAGTAATAGAAGACTGGATGGTTTAACTTGGTCACGGTGATTTGTGAGACCACACGGTGGAACTTTGAAACACAGGAGAACCATTTAAGAGACAAAAGTCTGGGACTGGTTAGAATTATACGAACCGCACGAGTGGTGAGGAAGAAATGCGCAGCTGTTTCCATATTGATCGGTCTTATCAACAGTTCGAATCCATTGACCCAGCTGAGGATCGAACTCGGGACCTTATAGATAGTACGCAATCATCCTATCCAAGCTCATTTGCTCTGTTTCCGACGGAACTAATGCCACTAACCTTTAAGCTGTGATGATTCATGAAGCAACACTCAGATTCATCAGTGCATTGCGCAATCGACTTGCATGATCACAAAGAGAAACGTTAGGTTGAGTGGTTTCCACCAAAGAATACCCTAGACCAACTGAACCGACTCGGAACAACAGGGATTTAACTTTACGATGCGATCGACCAACGGTTCGGGCGTAACGTGAGCAGTGCAAGTCGGGCGTGTGACGGATGAATAAGAAGTCGCTGCGCATAAAACCGAACCCAACCATATCGTTACTTGTTGATCGCCTCTCTTGCTGGAAGATGATCGATCGAGGTCAAACAAGAGAATGTTGAAAACAGCGTGCTAGGTTGATAGACAAATTCATCACGACGAGACTGCATCTTGATGTAATGTGGTTAGCATGCCTCCATGACCCAGCGATCTAACACGATGGAATTTACGGCCGTTTAACCAATCACGCCCGAACAGTCAACAGATAGAGGCCATAAAAAGAAAGAAATAAGATTACCGGCCGAAACCTCCTGCTGGATGTGGGACGATATAGGAGCTTGCTCCAGACGATGAAATTAAATGGATCTATGCCCGACTGCTTTTGTGGGTCAAAGCATCCGAATAGACTTCCCAAAGAAAACCTACTTAGTCGGTATGTGCAACCGCCATGTAGATGGATTGGCCGAGGAGGACCAAAGGAATGTAGTCCAACGCAGTCTTGACCGTTGGGCTGAACAATTCAAGGCTCAGTTCAACTGGCCCCCATCGAAATTTCATCTTTCACTCTCGGCCTCGACTGGACAAATGCTCCCAGTTGATGCTAGTCCTCCATCTGAAATGGAGGCATCTCGGGAAATAAGTTATCTCAAAAGGCATAAGGCTTCTGGCCCAGATGGGCTGTTCCCATCAGCGTTTAAGGATGGAGGCTCAGCCTTAGTCTTGGAGTTGATAAAACTCCTGGGTTCAATATTGGAAAGAGAGGAGGCTCCAGCTGAAAGGTGTGAGTCGGTGATCATACCGATTTACAAGAAAGGTGATAGATCCTCTAGTGAAAATCATAGAGGAATTAGTTTAATTAGCATTGCCTCTAAACTTCTCGCCGGGATCACATTCCGGCGATTGTCTGCTGCACGTGAAAAGTGAATACGTGAGAACCAGGCTGGTTTTAGACCTGGTCGAGGTTGTACCGACTACATCTTCACTCTTCGCCAAACTCTGGAGCATTCTGGACATTCTTCTCGTAGACCACCAGCTTTGTCTACTTAGACCTGAAAACGGCTTTCGACGCAGTCGGCCGCTCTAAACTCTGGCGCTGCGTTTCTCTGAAAGGTGTGCCCGAGAAGTTAATNCTTTATACTAATAGCGGAAGTCGAGTCTGGGCTTACGGCACTTTTTCGCCCGAGTTCACCACGGAAAGTGGTGTTCGTCAGGGTTGCCCTCTCTCTCCATTTTTATTTAACTTTGTTATAGATCTAATTGTGGAAACAGCCCTATCCTCGTGCGAGAAAAATGGCATCGATTTACTCCCAGGTGGCAGACTGTCTGATCTGGAGTATGCAGACGACATTGTGCTGCTAACTGAAGATCCAGGTATGTTGCAAGCATTTCTGGATAACTTGAATGCCAGTGTAGCCATATTCGATATGCGTTTTGCACCTTCAAAGTG